ATAAAATTAAGTTAGTATCTATTCGAGGAAAATTGAATCTAAAACTGACTTATGAATCAAAATGCATTCTACTTGCTCCTCACTTTGACTAAGTGTGGCCGTCATTGCGATCACATGGATGTATGCTAGACTTCATTAGTTTAAGTTGTATGTATATAGGTGGAGGGAGTATATGTGATAAAAAAAAAAAAAAGCTTGTCTCCCATTATCTAAGCCAGTTGGATTATTTAATAAAGTGATGTAGACATTTTCTAATGTATAATCACATTAAATACAGGAGTGCCATGGAAATCTAATTATCTAGACAAAAAAATTAAAGTAGAATATATATAGGAATGATTTATTTACATGTAAGTTTTATATGTGACACTTATATAAAATTTTAATTATTTATTATTTATTTTTAATAATTAATATTTATTCATATTTATTAAAAATAATTATATTTTTTAACTAAAAAACCATAATAAATCTAAATTATTAAAAATAAAAAAATAAAAAATTAATATTTTATATAAATATAATATATAAAAATTATATATAAATGAATCCTCGCTCTATATTTACATATGTATGTATGTATTGATTCTTAACATTTCTCACATTCCTAACCTTGTAATGTGTTTGATCAGTTGATGCCCAACCTCAAGATTGCAAAGCCTTGCCCCATCCATGAGGCCGAGGTTTGATTGGCAGTGTGTTTCATTAGAAACTTGTTAGTTGTTACAAATATAACGATAAAGTATGGCAAATATAAGATGGATTGCATATTATAAGAAAATATCGCTTGATATATATTTTAATTTGCAATCATGATCTTGATTAAGGATCGTTGCTTGGGAACAAAATTAAAATTGAACAATCAAAATTATTTGAATGGAGCATCTACTGATATAAATGAGCAGATTCTTGTCACTACAAGTTAGACATGGTTGTACTTCAGTGCCAGATGCAATGTTGCTTGCCTATTCAGATGGAGATACAGTTATCAGGTAATATCACTGACTTCGCCACCTTTTCCACCAAGAGGAAGGAGTGATACCTTGTGGAGGAGGTGGTGTGAGGATGTCTAGCATGGTT